CCCCCCCCAGACATTCCAAAGTTACAATAGATACAGTTTTTGTATACACAGCCCCACCAATAATTTTACCCTCATTTTTGATTTATTCCCTTATATTTTTCTATTTTATATAAAATTCAGTATTCAGGATAGATTTCTGAAATATTAGCCCCCCAATCTAAAATTCGCTCTTCAATCCCTGGGGGGTAGGGAGTGATGGTGCACATTAATTGTTACAAATGCTGATATAAGGTCCATTCCCCTTTGTTCTTTCATTAGGAATTTTTTGAAGATGAGAGTACCGAGATGCAATCTATTGAAGCTGATGGGCAGACTGAAGTCCACCCAGAACCAAAGGTAAGCATTTAGCTTCCTCTTTTGCCGGAATCTCTATTTGTGGCCATCATTTCTATATTCATATTTGGTAAGCTTACCTTATTTGGAATTGAATCCAGATTTCTTTTTGATTCATATTTTCGCCATTTAGGCCCCGTCCACACGTATCCGGAAATTTTTGTATCCGCAAATTATTTTTTGCGGATACGAAAATGTTTGCGTCCACACGCAGCGTATTCGAATCGTTTTCACCGTCCACACGTATCCGTTTTCATAAAATTTGCGGATACGGAAACAAAAATTTCCGGACACGTGTGGACGCAACCCGTATCCGCAAAAAAATTGCGGATACAAAAATTAGCGGATACTTTAGCGGGAACTTTAAAATGTTGAAAGTATGAATCAAAACTGAAGATATTATAGCAAAGAAATACTTCTATCCAGCTGATTTGAGAAAAAAACCGAAATTGATAACCTTTACAAAACTGAGGTGTCGCTTTTCTTCTTGAAAGTATTATTTCCAGGCCACCATTTTGGTTTTTTTGTTTTTTTTGTTTTTTGTTATGAGCGCTTGATAACAGCTACACAATAATTCATGAGTTTTATATTTTTATTGCAACTGCAGCCAGACAGGTTTTTATTTTTCGCTGGTCAGTCTTCACGGGCTTCATGAAACCTCATTTCTACTTCACTACTGTAGTTCTAAGTATATTATTTAGAGTCTTTCTTGGTGTAGCAAGCTTCATTGTATCCCAGCTGAGCGGTGAATTTATTTTCAGCCAATCACAGCGCGTTTAGCTGTCTTGCCGCCAGCCCTCATTCCCAGGCTACTGTAAGCCAAATTTTTGCGTATTTTTCTGTTTTCTTTTGACTTAAATATAACATATGTGTCTACAAGAAGCAGAAATATGGAAAGGTAGACTAAAAACAATTTCACTTTAGCGTTACTTTTGCTTCGTTCTTTAAAGCTCCAGAAATGCTTGGAGCCGGCCATTTTGTCCACACATGCTTTGCGCGCTGCGTTCACCGCTTAGCTGGTTCTGGGTTAGGGTTCTTTTCGTATCGCAGCCTATTGTTTATATCCAAACTCATTGTTCTCGGTTTTTTTTTTTTTTTTTTTTGGTTCTGTGGAGGAGACTAAGTTGTCCTGACAACACCAAGAAAGAGTCATTATTTACAGCTGGGCTGACATAATATTTTTATTCCATTTGATGTAGGATTCGCCACAGGCACAGAAGGTCTGGCAGAAGAATAAAAAGAAGGGCAAAAAACAGAAACAAAATAAACAAGTTAGCAAGAAAAAACCTGTTAAACAACAAATCAAGAAGAAAGGAAGCGAGGAGAAAGATGTAAGTTAGAAAAAAACATGTAACAGCGCCAACATAAGAATTTAAAACATCTGAATTAAGTTTCATCAAGCAAATTATTTTGAAAAGAAATTCCAAGCTCCAGGTGAGATTTGAACCTGCGAGAAAAATTTGCTTGTCAAAACATTTAAATTACGTATTTAATAACTATCCAAGCAACAAAGACAAATACTTGCATAAGAAAAGACTTCTTAAGCTTAGGCGTAATGTTTTCCCATTTCGGACCACGTGTTATTCCCTTGAGAATGAGATTCTTTGAATCGTATATCTAATTCATGTTTTATTTTGTTTTGCGAAGAATCCACCAAAAGAGGAAAAGGACGAAAGTAAGAAAGAAAAAGAGACCAAAGAAGATGAGGAGGACGGAGAGGACGTCAATCGAGATGAAAAAGACCACAGTGGTTCAGAGAGCGGAGACGAGGAAAGCAGGTAAAATATGTTGTTATGGGATACCTGTGTTTTGGAGTACTTTCGTTTAAAATCATGTGAGAAAAGTCTTTGGATCTCGTCAAACACCGACCACCATGTGCTGTCAACCAGAATTCTAGTGTAAACTTGTAATAGACGTAATTGGTCTTGATACAATGTTTTCCCATTTCAAACCACGTGTCGTTCTCCTGAGAATAAGATTCTGTTTGAGTTGTATTCGATATTCATGTGTCTTCTCATGCACAACCGTTAACAAAGAAATGATACTCTAGGAAATGACATGTTGCACCGAGTCAAATAGGCCATTTACGACAAACAGTCACGTGCAGATATAAGACTTTGATAACAAATCAATTCAGCCCAAGGTCCCTTAGGGAAGGCTCTGCTCGATGGCAAACCAACTATAAACTGCTTCGTATCTTGTAATCAAAAGTATCTTATAAGGGAAAAAAAGTAGTTTTGAAAAGGTTGAGATAAGACATTAGTAATCCAGCAAAAAATCTTTAAATAAAGGAAGTCCAAATTTTTTCACCATCCAGTAACGATCACGTGTCAATCTATTGTAAAAGAGGCTTTGCACCGTCACGTAATGGCAGCCATGACAGGAGGCAGGAACAATTAAATCTGGTCTTATCTGATTAACATGAGAAAGAATTCAGTTTCTCAGGGGAAAAATTGTGCCTCCTGTCATGGCTGCCATCACGTGTGGGTGCAAAGCCTCTATAGACCTATTAACATTGCTCCAATTTTTCCGTTTTTTCTTAGTTTTTGTTTTCTTTCATTTTTGCTCATTCTTGCTCATGTTTGTCATGCTCCATTTTTTTACAGCGGAGAGGAAAGTGGCAACGAATCAAACCAGGAGACTGGGAAATCACTAGAAGAGGACGAGGAGGAATGGCAACGACTTCAGGCTGACATCAAAAACAAAGACGTCATCCTGGAAACAAAATCCAAAGAAACACACACCGTGCATGCGCCATACTTCCCCGAGGTAATTAGTCAGTGATGAGATTCGTTCTCACCAACTTCAAAATCTCTCTCGATTGGGGGGGGAGGAGGTTGACATGGGAAAATATTGGGAGGGGAGGGGGAAGATTATTAAAAAATGCAATCCTTTGGTGGCAATCGATTTCCTCTCATCTTTTTTCTTTATGTGCTACGTTTGGTTGCCAACCCTGTTGGCTCAGTTCGTTGAGCATCGGACTTCCGTGCGAGAGGCTGTGGACCTTGTGTCCTGCTGTCCAGCACCAGCCTGCAGGCAAAATCTCAAATAAGTAAATTATAAATGCGTAACTTATAATAATCGTTATGATCGTAACTTGTGTGACTAACAAGTGTATTGCGTGACGCAGGAAAAGCAAGAATGGTGGTGGATCTATGTGACAGACAAGCGACGAACAGCATTAATTACCCCTCCACAACAAGTTACTACTTTGAAAGATGAAGAAGAGGTAAGATAAATAATTTGTTCTATTTCTTATCGTTTCTTTATTTCTTTCGTCATTTCTCTCCTTTCCTCCACGATTCATTCTATTAAATGGACAACTGTGATGATACGGCGGCCATCTGGGATCGCAAGGCATTATGGGGCGTCCAGGGGGCACAGTAAAGCTTTGTTACAATAATGACGTCGATTGACATTAACAGCTTACCACAAGAGAATACAAAAAAGATGAATTAAGACGGCGCATTGATCACCTGTACCCATAATAGAAAGACAAACACACGAAACTCTATATATTTTCCGTCATCTTTGTTTGGCCCCCAGACAAGATGGTCGCCGTATCGTCGTAGTTGTCCATTCCCATCTATTTGTCATTCTTATTGCATTTTTCCTTCATTCTCATCCCTCCCCTCCCCTTTTTTTCCCATTGCTTCACTATTGTTCTCTCATTTGTATTCCTTCCACTTCTATTCTTATGTTACAAGCAGGGAAATGTGCCTCCTTGTAACGGTCTTCTTGGATAAGGACTTAAAACCGTAGCACAACCCTTCCTTAACCTGTAAATGGGGGACATAAAAGAACATGTTGAATTATTCGTGTAAGAGTAGGGGACTGTCTCCCAGTTCAACAACCTATCCCAATTGATGGGTTGCAAGCATTCCCAAGAGAGTTAAAAGACAAAAACATGGCGGCCATTGTGGTACCGTTAACAATGGATGCTAATGAGAAATCTTTTGTTAAATGGTGCCAACATGGCTGCGATGACGTACCGTTCAAACGAAGAACTTGGATGCATAATGCTAATCTACTAACAATATTCACTCATGATTGTAAGCTGCACGGCTGCTAATAGCGCTGCTAAGTCCTCAACTGGTCAAAATGTAAAGCGCATGTAGGCAATCTGGAATGTGCTATATAATAACCTCCCATTGATGTCAAAGTCTTCATTTTCTTTTTGGCGGCCATGTCTTTTTTTCTTTCTTTCTTTTCTTGTGGGAATGAATGCTTTTGTAATACTTTTACATTTTTACACTTTTACAAACGAACAAATTTTGTTTTTGTCAACTAATGTTGTTTTTTTTTTTWAATCTCATTTTTAGGTCGAACTTAAATTCCAAGCTAATGAAAAACCTGGTACATACCACTATACTGTGTCTCTGCGTTCCGATTCGTACTTTGAGCGTGATGTAATACAGAACTTCAAGGTAAGATTTTCCGCCATCTTTCTTAAAGCTGCTTTGTGTTGAACTTTTTCTTATAGAAAATCTATCGATTGCATTATCGTTTTTCGGCCTATTTTCCTACTCCCTGCGCTCGTGTCCACTTGAGACATCATCTATGATCAATAAGAGGACAGTCAATGGAAATTTATAGCCCCGTTTAGACTAGCGATTTTTGCGGCGATTTTTTTGCGATTTTGTCCATAATAAATAATGGTAAAGAATTGACTTGTAAAGTTTTTTTCAGGATACCAAGATTTTCTTAGACGAATGTCTCTTTTGAAGGATGAGACAAAAGATTTCATATTTCCGAAAATTGCCACAAAAATTGCAGCAAAAATCGCAGCAAAAATCGCCGCAAAAAAATCGCCGCAAAAATCGCCGCAAAAACCGCCGCAAAAATCGCCAGTGTAAACGGGGCTTATTAGCGATTTGTAAGACCTACCAGCCGCTCATGCTGAATTCCTTTTTCAGATCACTGTCGAAGAGGCCAAAGAATTCGAAACAAAGCAATGGGACTTTGAGAGCGACGAAGACGATAAAGACTCGGAGGATGAAAGTGGAGAAAGTGAATATGAGGAAGATGACGAAAATAGTGACTAAATCTTGTCCGCGCCCTCCCCTCCCATGATACCACGAGTGACCAAAACCACAATATGTACACAATTGGAACGAAATTGGACGCGTGTTTAAAGGGACTGGTGTAAAGTCTTGGTAATGATCATGTGACTTAATATGTAATTCACAATTTACAATCAAAAAACGAGCTTAAGGATTACGAATACTTCCGTCTCGAGTTGCTCTTACCCTCATTTATCACTTAGAGCGTGTTGCCGACAACTCTAGATGATGTGAGGGTTTTACTATATATTGGCTTTCGTCTATCAATGCTATAACCGTCAGAGTGAGTAACCGACTCGGTCCACTTGGATTTGAATGTTTTCCTATCACAGACCACGTGTCATTGTCTTGAAAAGGATATTTTTAGTTTGAGTTGTATCCATATTCTTCTATTAGTCATTCCGAGGTTGAGAAAAACTGGGTCGAGTTCATGTTATTGCAGTGCATTGTGGGGCTGATTTAAGGGACAAAAATAGACGCCATCTTGGAAATATGTCCCCTTAGACAATCCCACAATAGACTGCGATACCAACTCAACCCAGTCTTTTTCTCAACCTCAGAACGATTAATCTATTCCAGCCTTACTGGTAACACAGAAGTAATACTCAAGGGAATGACATTTGGTTTGTAACGTGAAAACATTGCATACAAGAAGTTTGCGTCTAACATGATGACGGAAGCGAAAAGCTTTAGCTGTAGACGGAACCGGAACAAGAGAAAAATTATATAATTAAGACTAAATTATTCGTTAAATTGTGGATTCTTTCCAGTTAGCAATTCCGAGATTGAGGGAACAACTAGGTGGAGTTGGCATTACAGTGCATTGTGGGGCTGCTATAGGGAACAAAATAGCCGCCGTCTTGGGAATATGTTCGCATATGCATATGTTGCTGTGTTGGTCAAATAATAGTCCCCTTCACGACTCCTCTGCAATATAGAATACATTATGATAATTAACATCAAAACGAGTGCAATGGTGAGTCACATTTACAAACTAAACTGAATAGAAAAGTACAGAAGGAAAACCGAATGCACTTTATAACATCCGGCGAGACGATAGAAGACACTTAGTCTCATAATCTACAGAACTAGAAACGACTCACCGTTCCTCTCGTCAATACACCTCATCACACAGCGCTATGTTAAACCTGCCTAACCTCGGCCTGAAGCGCTTGAATGCGAGGCCGCCCGTTCGGTCCATACGCTCTAATTGAACATGAAAACTAAATCAATAGGCTTGCGTAACAAAAGATGTCTTTAGTTATTCTTACTTTTAAAACAATTTTGTACCAGAGCCCACGTTTCTCTTGGTCAGCACCGTGCAACGATTTTTTTCATGATGCTGACCAAGAAGAACGTGGGCTCGGTAAGAAGTTCACATTTAGAGGTATTTGAAAGGTAATTCGATGGAAATTGTTACAAAATTTTAGATAGAAGCTATATATATATATATCTCTGTAACATTACCTTTGTGAATGGGGTTCGGTTAAGATTTCGTATAACTAARAGTACGAAGACCGTATCCTAGATGATAGCCCTACCTGTGCTTACTACACCATAACCAATGTTAACTACACTGATTTCTTACTCATCAGTACTCCCCCACAATATCTTATAGTACGCAAAGGCAGTTTACTAAAAATCTAGACTAAACGTGAACAATCAATAAAAACTAATACTTACACCAAGACTCCTGGCTATCTTTAATAAGAAACCATGAACTATAGTCCATGGTTTTGATCCATTTTTGCCTATTTTCACACCTTTTAGAAAAATATGCATTATTTATGAAGCATGCAAAACTGGTCATTTTTGGCCATTTTTGGGCAAAAAGCATGGACTATAGCCCATGGTTTTGGTCCATTTTCACACCTTTTCAAAAAATATGCATTACTTATGACGCTTGCAAAATAGGTCATTTTTGGCCATTTTCAGCCAAAAAGCATAGACTATAGCCCATGGTTTTGATCGATTTTAGCCCATTTTCACACCTTTTGGAAAAATATACATTATTCATGAACGATGCAAATAGGTCATTTTTGGCCATTTTCAGCCAAAAAGCATGGACTATAACCCATGGTTTTGATCGATTTTAGCCCATTTTCACACCTTTTGGAAAAATATGCATTATTGATGAGGGATGCAAAATAGGTCATTTTTAGCCATTTTCAGC